ACTACCTAGACAGTCAGTCCCCATCCTACGCTGCTGCATGGTTCTATGATTTCCTAGCAGCAGGGCTTTTGCTTCAGTTCTGTTAATTTCATGAGGCATCTGTTATCAGCTGCTTGTCTTGGTATCTCCGAATGGCAGTCCAGCCCTCCAATGGAAAAACCACTATCCAAATTACGGCCATTCACAATCCTGCTAGGCACGTATTCAATCCCATTGTCCAAATTGTTGGTGTAGATGTTAACAGTATCATCCCAAGTATCAATCCCAGAGAAACACTAGACTTTTTTTTTTTTTTTTTTTTTTTTTTTTTCCACCCACTGGAAGCTCTGGGTATTCTAGCCTCATATTACTACATATGTTATAATATTATATACTGTTGTTGAATCACAGAAAGAAGAAAGGAAGGAAGCTATCAGCTATATGTATGTGAAAAAGCAGTATTTTAAATGGTTAACTATATCTTTAAGATTTATAGTATGGGTGTTTGTTTTTTTTCAATCCCTGATTCACTAATAGGAATTTTCTGACATCTTTCTATCCTTATGCTTCTCCAGACGATCTTCCTACAAGGATAATCCATGCATCCTTAAATACATGGATTCCTTAAAATAGGAATTTTGTTTAACAACAGCTAAACTTCTAGAAAAATGCAACCAATTAGTTTAAGTAGCCAGTTAATCGTTCCTAGTGTACATAATAGACAAGGCTATTTCCAATGCCACCTTTTCCTTCTAAAGGCATCTGATACAAATTGTGTACTAAGCTCTATTGGAGCATTTTCAGTTTCACTGCAAGCAAAAAACCTAATTCTTAGCAAGGAAGCATTAGAACCACTGCAAGTATCACTGCCTTAAGCCAGATGCAAGACTCTTTATTCACATTACAGTACTTACCTACTAATTTACATTGCCTTGATGATCAGAAAAACAAAAGGAAAAAATAATTTCTTGTGAGTAAACAGAAAAAAATAAGAACCCAGTCTAATCAAGTTATAGGTATCTGGACATTGGAATCAGAGAGTAAAACCACTCTTTTTGGTTTTATGTTTGTGCTACTGGGTTCATACAGCACAGAGGAGAAAACTGAGAAAAAGATGCCCGAGGGATGGCTGAAACTGGGATTTGGCAGCTGTCAGAGGGAAAGAACTGAGGTCACCAGGCAAAGCTAAAAGGTTCAACAGATATAATCAAGTCAGGGACACATATATGTCGGTATGTATATTATGTCACCATCAAAAATTATTGTAGAATATGAGAATATGATAAATTCTACTGTGGCAGTTTATTTGTTCATTTCCAGTTAGAAAAACGTTAAGAAACTTTGGCAAAGCAAACAAACTGTAAGTGCAAATAGACTTTTAAATTACATTAACATACTAGAAGAACATCTGGTACAAACTGTCAAGTTTCCATGCATTCTTAGATAAGTATTTGTGGATAGTGTTTCAGCTGCACTGGGTTTTTTATTTTTATTTTTTTAATGAACTACACTCACAGTTCATTAATGCTCAAAAAATGTTCTCAAAAAAAAAAAAAAGAATAAGTTCTTGGTATAAATTTCTCACCCCAAACACTGCTTTGCAGTGCATCTTCATGTTTAACTCCCTGATGTACAACTATGTTGTTAGCTTTTGTGAAGACAGTAAGTAAACTGTTTCTGTACAAGCTACCAATTACTGCTTAGTCTTGACAAACCCTATAATCCACTGGTAAAACAGAGTTAAAAATGAAAATAAAATAATAATCTGATAAACAATTCTGAGAAGTAAAAATATGAAGTACCTTTAGTAAAAATACTGAGCTACTACCAATGCTCAGTACAAACTGGGCTGGTGCCCACTGCGGAACAAAGATCTGGAGGAAGACAAACCATGTATCATTACATATTCCCAGGCTGAATAGCCTACATAGTCTGTGGCACAACTATTAGGATGCCATAATCAGAACACCTGTTATACATTACTGAGATCAGCTGTATAGCCTTTACAATAACCCTGATGTAGCCTACATTCCAGTTGCTCACATAGACATTAAGATCGGCAGAGGTTTCTGTACCAGTAAAACAGGTAGACCAAGAAAAATACATTAAATTATCTCAGGTTTTATTTTATTTCAAAAAAGTCAGTGATACTGTATCTTATGATAGTTCATGTCTATTTCTTACAATTAGAAATACTGAAGTTGTTTTTAAAGAATGTTAATCCCAAAAGAGAAAGAATGTTAATCCCAAAAGAGAAGGAAGATTTGCTTTTGTTATAAATATTTGACAATCCGAATTTCACTCTGCTGCTGTTTTTAGGTGTCTATCAGACTGAGGTCAGGACATTCTCATGGTAAAATTAAAATTTTTACTTTTTGTCCTCATAGCACTGTTGGCTGGATCTTGCAAGGTCCCTACAGAATTAAAGTGATGCTCTGCTGAGTGATTTGTTGAGCCTGAAGTGTGAATCCCATAGTTCGCATGAACTACCTACACCTTTCTGCTGCCAGCTTCACTCTCGTATGCTGGTGCACGTCAATCCCAACTTGAATACCCTGAAAATTACAGTCCTTGGCCTATTCTGAAGCAAAAACACTATGTTAAAATACATGATGACTCTCCAGTGTCCACAAAACTTCATATTGGACTGAAAAGACAATTTAATTGTCCAATTATTGTCAAGCAAATGACAAACAAAAACTACAGATGAATAACATAAGGGTAATAACCATTTACTGTTTTAAGATCATTTAGCTTCTGTTCCTCAAACATACAAAACTGATCAACATTACTTCATCATAAAATTATTATAATTTCAAATAATTTTAGGTGACTATAAAGATTTAAAAACCACCTTTATTCCTTCCTTTTTTATTCTGGAAAATATATTCTATTCCTAAAACACACTGAAGTGCTTAACTTCTGCTGGTGATCTTAAGAGCTTTATACCTGCCCATAAATAGTCTGAGGAAGTTCTGAAAACCCATCTAAAGAAGATTTTAATTTTGGAAAATTCACATTTAAGAAGATGCAAGATCCATATCTTTCATTAATAAATTTTCAAATGCAAATACATTGCTTATGCACTTATATATCCCCCTATGATGCATTCTTATGAAAAGGTTTTACAGGTTGTATTCTTATATGGTATTTTAGAATGAAAAATATATTTAAATATCAACCACAGTGACTGAAATAAAAAAAGAATATTTTTTTGTATTTACTGGATCAAGCTCTGCAGAACAGAAGCATTACCAAAAAATCAAAGATTCTTGGCAAGATAAAAACAGGATAATGTTAAATATTGATACTCTGATGAAATATTGGTGGTAGTAGTAAGGCAAAATCTGGCAAAGGAAAATTAAAACTATTGCTGGTATTACCAGTTCCCCATACAGGTGTTTCTGGACTAGCGACAGAACTTAGCCATAAAGGACAACAAGTAAGTGATCCTGTAGCAGAGGTGCAGCTTTTCACTACTGTTTCTTTATTTCTGTGGTCACTGGATTTTAAAAACAAAAATACTTTGTTTTCCACCTTAAGGGAAAATAATGTCACTTGACTAAAAAATTCCCTTGAGAAAAAAATCCCAACCCAAACCAAACCAAAACCAAACAAGAGACAGTGGAAAGTTTTCCTTAATGTCTAAACTGCTGACCAACATTATTGCTTACACTAGATTTGAAGAGAAATGAAGAAATGAACTTTTCCTTGGCTATGCTGACTGTTCCATACCACCAGGAGATCCAAGAGACTGGTAGTGCCTGCTTATTACCCATTTGCAGCATGGGACTCTTCACTGGGTTACTAAAGCAATTTTCTGTTCACATCCTTTTCTGAATTTAGTCTATGACAACTCCAGGACCATAATACAGATTTGTTGCAAGGATATATCAGAGAAGTTTCTCCAAATACAAAGGTTCAAAGCTTATTAAATTTTATCTTTGCAGGACTATGTATGATGTGATACAATTACGACCATCAAGGTGTAAGACAGAATGGAAGAAAGTTTAAGAAACTGACTTTCTACTTTCTCATTAAAACCAGATATACACAGATGATAAAACCCCATTCTGCTATAACCACAAGATTAATACAGTAGTTATCTACCACCATTTCCTCCTGCAAATGAAACAAATCCCATATGAGCTTCTGAAGCAAAATACTATTTCTGAAGTTTTCTGTAAAAAGGTACAAAGACAAAACAAAGCTTAATTCCATGGCCATTATACTAGGTGGGTTTGCAGACTCAAAGAAGTTTCAGGAAATTTACATGTTGCTTAATCAGTTTGCACAACACAGTAATTTGGATTGGACAATGTATTACACGGAAGGAGTATTAGTAAGAAAGGGATATATACATTTTTTGCAACAGAAAAGGTGAGACACTTCATCAATTGCCAGAACGGTCCTAGCTAGGCAAGAGATACCGCATTGGGAAAAAAGCTTCTTATTCAAATTTTTGGTCCCCCATACATTACTGCCTCCTCTTCATAGTTTTAAATAGTATGTAACATTCTATTCAGTTTGTTATTAATTAGAAAAAAAGAGTTCTTCAGCCTTGCTGTACTTTTAAATGGTTAAGTAGTACCAAGAGCCTCAAGAGGGATTCCGTTAAATAAGCATTTTAGGATTGACTTACCTATAAAAAAAGTTTGGACTTGCTCACTTTAAACAAACAAATTTGAGATACAATCAGATGTCCCTAAATTGTGTTTATATTCTAGGCAGATTATAAAAGTGCATGTGTGACACAATTATTTGCTCTAACTATAGCATACAATGAAATTAAGACTGTTCTTGAGATTCTCTGCAAGAATAATTTAACCAGCCTTATGATCAAAAAATGAAAGACTGATGTGGAGTAAGTTTTTGTTTTGTCCATAAGTTTTGAAAATATAAATTCAAAATGTTAATCTAAAATTTTTTTTACAGTCAGTTTGGAGAGAAGGAGATTTTGTAACTGCATTCATTTCAGTAAACTGACATATAGTCCACATGAAGTAACAAAGATTCCTTACCTTGATGGACTGACTGTAAGGTCCTATGCTAGCAGGTGCCCAGTGGGAAATGCTCTGTACATGCATGACCAGTTTTTCATCACGTAATACATCATCTGTTGCAATGTGTGCAAGGCAGTCAATGCAAAACAGTACTCCATCAGGTAACAGGGTTTCCACACATACTCTGAAAACACAAGATAATTATTTTTTTCAAATATAAAGTTTACTTGCACCAAGTTTCAGCATTTACTTTCCATGGGTTTTTTGTTTGGATACTATGTTATAAAATTTTGTGAGGAACATAAAACTTTCAAAAGCTATGGTATCACAATAACCTACTATCATTTACACTGTTATCCCCTCTCCAGATAATGATCAGCTTCAGATTTTCCAGAAAGATAATTTCCATCACCAAGGAGAAACTAGTACCACAGCCAATGGCTCATTTGTTTAAGAATAGATTAGTTCTTTTATTAAAAAAACCTTAACCATACAACCATGGAAATGCCAGATAAGTTATGCCAAGCAGCCTTCAGACTAAGTGTATCATTGTCATATTCTTCACACATTTTTCACTGAATCTCCTTCTAATGGTTGGACTAGAGGTTCAGGTTTCTAAAAAGCAGCAGCTTGTTCCTTTATACCATTCTCATGGAATCATACAATGGGTTGGGTTGGAAGGGACCTTAAAGATCACCTAGTTCCACCCCCCTGCCATGGGCAGAGACACCTTCCCCTAGCCCAGGTTGCTCACAGCCCCGTCCAACCTGGCCTTGAGCACTGCCAGGGAGGGGGCAGCCACAGCTGCTCTGGGCAACCTGTGCCAGGGCCTCACCACCCTCAATGTAAAATATTTCTTCCTTATATCTAATCTAAATCTACTCTCTTTCAGTTTAAAGCTATTACCCCATATCTTATCCCTACAGTCCCTGATCAAGACTCCCTCCCCATCTTTCCTGTACCCCCTTTATGTACTGGAAGGCTGCTATAAGGTCTCCCCAGAGCTTTCTCTTCTCCAGGCTGAACAACCCCAACTGTCTCAGACTGCCCACATAGGAGAGATGCCCCAGCCCCTGCTTGTCTTCGTGGCCTCCTCTGGACCAGCTCAAGGAGGTCCATGTCCTTCCATGTTGGGTGCCCCAGAGCTGGACACAGCACTGCAGGTGGGGTTTCATGAGAGCAGAGTAGTGGGTGAGAATCACCTCCCTCAATCTGCTTCTTTTGATGCATCCCAGGATACAGTTGGCTTTCTGGCCGGCAAGCACACATTACTGGCTCATAGTCAGTTTTCTATCCACTGCTACTCCCAAGTCCTTCTCCTCAGGGCTGCTCTCAATACACTCATTGCCCAGCCTGTATTTTGTGGACAGGGTTGCCTCATCCCATGTGCAGGACCTTACACTTGGCCTTGTTGAACTTCATGAGGTTTGCCTGGTCCCACCTCTGAAGCCTGTCAAGGTCCCTCTGAATGATATCCCTTACCTCCAGCGTGTTGACCACACCACACAGCCTGAACTTGCTGAGGGTGCACTCAATCCCACTGTCCATGTCTCCAGCAAAGATGTTAAACAGCAGTGTTCCCAACACTGAGCCCTGAGGAACACCACATGTTCTCACGTTATCATGCAATACTAAGCATATTTTTCTGTTACACTTCAAGTTGCATGACAGACTCACACTTATGACAAGACTGAAAACCTACTTAAGCACTCATTTAAAAAGTTCTCTGTTGTTTGCTCCAAGGAAGGCTGAGTGCCTGGATGACAGAGGAACAGAGGGTCTGTGGCATGTGACCAGTGAAAAAGCAGCGGAGGGGGGTTCATGGATGCAGGGGGAAATCAACATTTCAAAGCCTGAAAAATAATTATATTTGCAGTCCATGAATAAAAAAGTTATTTAGCTCCCAGCAGGAATCCAACAAAAAATTAGTTGTTCTCTTTACATATCATATAACATAGCCTTACAAAATTCTTCACATCTTGCTTATTTCTTCCAAGAAAACTATTTTTCTCCCCTCCTCCTACATGCAAATACAGTATTTTTTCCTCATTACCATCATCATAAGCATGGATGAATGGATTTTCTGCTTGGGCTGATAAATTTTCATGTCAATTTTGCAAATTTAGTGCAGATCCACACCCTTGAGTCAAAGCTCCCAGCATATTGCTTGTGAGAACTCCCACAAGCAGGTCTTTGTGCACAATCCAATGATGCAGCCATGCAAACTACTGTATAACTGTTCTTCTGGACAAAATGCAACATAAATCTGTTTGTTCCATAAAAATAATCATAAAAATCAATTTTCCTGCAACTTCCTAATCTTCCTACCTGTTATTTTAGTGATGTAAGACTACGTAGCTGGTATGCAAATGTGGAGGCTTAAAAGATACAGCAGCATGAGAAATGAGGGAAGCTAAATCAGGAAAAGTTAAGTATTTATTCATAAAGTGAACTTAAGATACATAGTAGTGGAGATTGTGTAGTTTACAGATGGGACTAGATCCCTCCTCTGAAGGCACACGCAATCAACACTCCATCCCTCTGTGATTTAGTAATCCTGGCCTACAATCAACAATCTTGAAGAAGCCTCTTCTTGCTCTCTTTTGATCTCTTTTGACACCCAGTGTAGGAGAATTTGAATCTCTGATGATACATGTTACCTTAACAGTGTGTTTTAACTATTTTTCGTGCTATACTTAAAATTCACAAGCCTACACTACACTTTGTATTCTGTAATAAGAGTATAAAATACAGTATTTTAGATTAGAAAATTGCTAAACAGTTGGTTTTAAAAATATGAACATGACATGAGGTCTGACCTCATAGTTGACCCTGTTTTGAGCAGGGGATTGGACTAGATGACCTCCAGAGGTCCCTTCCAACCTGTATTAACCTATGATCCAAGTTGAATATTTTGGGCTATAGCAGTTCTGCATACTGAGCACAGTATCTCAGATGCTTAAGGAACATGAATTACTGTAATAAGAAATAAGCCCTTTTGACACAGGTAATAATTTACAAATGTAAAATTAATTTTAACACACGTCTTTTAAAAAGAACAAAAATGTAATGGACTAGGTGTTTGTTATCCAATTTACAATGGAAAGAAAACCCCAACAAACAAACATACCCACATAATACAGGAATCACGTACTGCATAATTAGATCATCAAGCTGTTTCATTGTCAGAGGTGGAGTTGGATGCAATGTTGAAGATTCTGTACTAAAAATCTATGATTTGGTGACCCATGAATATGTAAGTGCAGATAAGTTACCCACTAACAATCTGACAGAAACACAAGACATTTAGAACAACTACATTGGATTGAGCCAAAAAAGCATCTAGTCCAGTATTCATACTCAACCATAGCCAAGTGCATATAAACAGGAAAAGAAAAGGAACAGAGTAAGTATATACTGGTACCGTCTTGCAATAACCGCCAGTATCTCATAATGTGCATCTCAAATCATCTCCTCAGCTAACAATTTTGCTTTTGTATTTCACAGAATAAACAGAACAAAGTGAATGGAGATCAGTGGTACAAAGTCTCACTGATGGCCAGTAACTAGTGGTGTATCCCAGGAGTCTATACTGGGTCCAGTCCTGTTCAATATCTTCATTAATAATCTGGATGATGGGGCAGAGTGTACCCGTGGTAAATTTTCAGATGATACAAAACTAGGAGGAATGGCTGATATACAAGAGATTTGTGTCGCCATGCAGATGGAACTCGACAGGCTGGAGAAACAGGCACACAGACACTTCATGAAGTTCAACAAGGAGAAGTTGAAAGTCCTGCACCTGGGGAGGAACAAAACCATGGTCCAGTATATTCTGGGGGCCAACTGGCTCAAAAGCAGCTTTCCAGAGAAGGACCAAGAGGTTCCTGAAGGTCACCAAGTTGAACATGAGGCAGCCATGTGCCCTTGTGGCAAAGAGGGCTGATGATATCCTGGGCTGCATTCAGAGGACTGTTGCCAACGTGTCAAGGGAGGCAAACAAAAAAAGTAAATAAAATTCCACCAACACAAAAGAGTTGTCAGTTTAATCAAGTCTCAGAGAAGAGCTGCGTCTTCCAAAAAATGTATTATTCTTTCATATAGGTGGGGCATTTGTAAACCTTATGGTATATATTAAGGCAAGAATTTCCAATCCTAGTGTTTTTCGGTTGAAGAGCCCTGATGTGCTTACTCCAAAAGACAGCAAAAGTCTACTTCTAAGTCTGTGAGGCACAAACATTTGGACAAAAGCTTCATAAATATGGTAACAATAACTCAGTATATTACAGTATATCATAAATATACTATAGCAGTAGAATAATCCTACCTTGCTGGTGGACACAAATCAAATTCTGTCACATAAACTGAATTTATGACATTGAAATCTTTCATGCTCTTCATATACAGATGGACCAAAATAATATCCTTCAGTTTCAATCCCTCTGAAGTCATATTAGCTGCAGGATAAAAATAATATAGATGTTAAAGAGAGAATATTTTAAATGCGCGTAGAAAGACAGCATAGGCATCCTGGTTTTGTTCAGAAAAAAACAACTGGTAATAACCTAAGAGCTGTCTAAACATGACTGAAGGCTTTGCAACATACTACCTTTTCCCTCATAATACCTATTTTTTTGTGAAATTCTTTCTCATTTTAGTTTTCCAAATACACAGAAACAGAATGCAAATAAATTTTATCAACCCTGAGCAGTGGTGAATTCTTGCCCCAAGAAAACATATCATGCATTAATGCATGCAGATATGTTACAGTCTGAATTCCTCGTAACCATAAGTTTTATTATCTCGTATTTTTTTTATTTTCAGTCTATGACAGCTAGTAATCTATAAAGGACTTTGAATCACAAAAGTACAGAACTGGAAGGGACAATAAGAGGTCCTTTAGTGCATCACCCTCTTCAAAGAAAAGATCAAATATTCATATGCTATTCCAGGGGGATGCTTGTCTAAGCTGTTTTTAAAAATCCTCACTGCAATAATAATCTCTGCATAAACAAAGAGTTATAAATGGCAAGACAGACAACGGATAACAGAAGTGGCCACAGGAGAAATGAAGGAAAGATGAGAGCAAAGGAAAGTTCAAGCAGACAGTTAAAGAAAAGATACTGGGAAGTCAAGATCATCTGCATGTGTATGCATAGAAGATTCCAGTCATAGCACTTAAGGAGAATCTACTACTCTTACACAGTCAATACTGTAACAAGATATATAAATCAGCCCTGCAGTGTGGACCTTTTGTAACTCATAAGCAATAGAAACTAAATAAAGACAAAAACTTCTTCTTTGAATATAGAACATACATAATAACAGAGTCCCATGTGACCTAACTTAAATGAACTACATAAAGCTCTTCTCAGTGTAACTTTGGGGATCTTGTCTTGTAATGTTACAGTGTGTACCTGTATATACCCATATATATCTATACATTTATTTTCCAGTGGACAAGAGCATAAAGACAATTTCTGTTGGCTGTTGCCTTAGTGAGAAACAAATACTTTTTGTGTAACACTTTTCTGTGCTTTTAAAGACAGTTCAGGAGTTGGCACACTTCCATAAAGGTTAGTTTGGTCACACCAATACTGAATTTTGCTCTGATTGTCTCAGCTTTATTTAGTCATACTGCCATTAGTGTTGGCAATCTGAAGAGGGGAATTCTCACTGACAGAAAAGGAAGCATGTGCTAAGTGATACAAGAGATTATATAGCAATTGACATAGATCTCCTGTGAAGTCAAGATACATCTCCAGAAATATCAGCTAATTAGCACACAAGATAATTCTGTTCAGAAATATCAATGTATTTGAATGCTGCCTGATAGCAATCACTAGGTCAATATCAGCTCTTATGTCATCAAATTTCCAGCCAGCATTTTAGTCAAGAAGAAAGAGTTTTGGCCTGCAGTTAAAAGTTCTGCAGCATTATATGGAATAATGGTGGGGAAAAAAACCACCACCAAATTGACTCCCCCTCCCAGGTCTAAATTTAAAATGTATTAAGTGTCCTGGTTCAGCTAGGACAGGGTTAAGTTTCCCCAGCAGTGGGGAGGGAGCTCTAGCCGGGTTATTCGATACCATGCTGACAGGTCTGGGCGCCCAAGCTCGGGAACAATTCTCTGGGATTGCTTTTGTCCCTGACGGTACCTGCGATGGGACTGCTCTATCCTTCTGGTCTATCTCTGTATATTTCATCCTGTTCATTGTTATTACTGCTTATTGTTATTGTCATTGCTATTGTTGTTGTTCAGTTTATTATTATTCGTTACACTGTTGTATTAAACTTCTCCTTATCTCAACCCTGGGGTTTGTATCTCACTCCCTGCCCCATCCGTCCAAGGGTGAGGGAGGGACAACGGCAGCGTGGTCTCAAATCCAAGCAGGGCCTAAACTACCACGAGAAGCCAACAAGTTAACTCTGATTTGTGGACACATAACAGTATTAGAACAAGTTGAAAGCAAAGAGATTTGGATAAATTCCTAGTTTCTAGCTTTATTTTTAAAAATCTTAAAGTAGAAGTACAATCCCTTTTTCCTCTTCATGAATTAGAGGAATGATGGGAAACAATTTCTCCCTATCTTGCAAGCAGAATAAAATTGACTTCCCAAAGCAGTCTATCTAGTAGAAATGCATAAATGATGAACTGGTTACCAACCCACCCCTTGGGTTCTTGACAAGTTCTGTTTCCCAAGGAGAGGATTCTTACATTGAACATCTCCAGGATATACAGGGAAACCATACAGCCCTTCCGTTGAACTTCAAGCCATTCACTGTTCCTAATAATTTATAAAATATGATTACGTGACTCATCCTTACTTATGCAGAACTGCACAAAAAGAAATGACCCACAAGGTAACATGGTCGAAGTACAGTTTAGTTTTTTTAAATAGGTTATCCAGGATCCTTAGGCTGAGAGCCACAAAAGACAGTATCCAAACCATCTACGAGAAGTAGCATTTTAGACTAAATTTTCATGTTGTAATAATCTATGTAGTTCTCTTCAAGCCTGTGAAGCTTTGCTGTGGTACAGCTGCATCAGAGCTGCTTTACATATAAAGCATTGCAATTTTTGTCATCTTCCAATCATATCTAAAGAAAAGTTTAACAAAAGAGTTTAAGAAAAAAAAATATAAACAGTAAGGTACTGTATTCCTTTCTGGTTTTGGCTTCACAGGAGAATTCCATCTACTTTACAAAAACATCTAGTACTAAATTTCCATTTCTGAATCCTTTTGGCAGCACTTATCCTCTTTAGATGTGATTAAATCAGTTAACCCAGCAGAGGTTAAAAGGACTGTGCTTATTTCATTCACACTGTACTGAACACTGAACTGCTGTATAGATCACAAGTATGAATTCAGAAAAAGCCTGGTGCATATTTGCAGATGAGTTGTCAGAAACAAATTGTTTCTTTTGCCATGACAGAGCCATAATTCATTCAGTCTCCCACACCTCCTTCCAAAAAGAGAAAAACGAAAGGAAATGTGAGACCTGACATTTCCTACCAAGGATCAGAAAATTACTTTTTTTTTTGTTGTTGTTGTTGTTGTTATTACTGCAATACAGCTAATGCAAGCAATTTTCTGAAAGTAACCAGCCACTGTACTAGTCAGAGACAGTCTTTTTTGACAGATGCTAAGGCAAAAAATGTATCGTGTTTGTTCTATCCGATTTCCATTCAAATGTAATGAGAACAAAATAAAACACAACCCTTTTGCATCAATTTACAGATTATGCCCAGAAGATTTACACTAAATACTACTGTCTTTTACTAAAAGTTTGGTCACATCCACCTTGATGTTTTCCAAGCAATCAAAAACTAGCTTAATGACCTTCTACAAAGTATAACTTCTTTGCTTCTGAAAAAAAGTCTAGCATTTCTTTATCGTACTATATTAAATCATGAATACTCAGCTGCCATGCAAAAAGATTTTTATAGGACAACATCTCAGCCAAATTCATGGACATGAGCGTACCCATTTAGATACTAAAATTATTCCCATTTTTATGAATGAAAAGAAGCTGGTATAAACATGCTTTACTTAAAATTTAGAATTAAAAAAAACCCCAAACTTCCAAAATGTGAACACTTCATTTTATATGCCAGTATCTTGTAGGAGGGGGATAGTAAGGAACCTGGATTTCATGATTCCCTAGATTCCCTAGATAGCAATTTCTTCTTTACATTAAGAATATAAATGAGATTTACTTCTAGAACTTAATTTAAAATTATGGTAGCTACAAAAGTGCTTCAGCAAGTAGACAACACCCATAGCACACATGCACACTCACACACAGAGTATATATTGCAAGAAAGCTATAAAGCAAGTTATAAAGTGAGTAAGTACTGTGTGGTGTTGTTACAGTGATAGGAACAATACTCTGGCTTTCTAGAGTCTTCAAAATTCAGTCAAATTATGATGTGTTCAATAAAAAAGCTGGCAGTCTTATTATCAGTGACTCTAATCAAATGCAAAATGAGATGGCAAACTGACAACCACAACATTTAAAGTTATAAAACCATATGACAATACAGATTCTTACTTAATATCATATTAAAACCAGTGTAGTTAACAGCAGATAATGCATTAACTGAATAAAGCACCTTGAAGAGAAGAAAATGCTTCCCTTGCTGCCTCTTGAACACTTCTGCCTTTTGATGGAAGGAAGTGGGCAGCAATACCTGAAAACCACTGGTAACCACTCAGGGATTTTCCTGAACTTCCAGACATCTTAGCTGTAGGAAATGAAGAACAGCACTACGATTATAATAATTAAAGATTTCAGATTAATCTAGAATATATTTTAAATTGTTTAAGTAAGAAGAACGTCTACAGAAAAAAAAATGAAATCACAAACTGTGAAAACATCTTCAAAAATTATTTACAGACAAACATATAAAACAAAAACTTAAAAGGGTGCTGGTAACATCTTCCAAATGCTACTTGACAAATCCTTCTTCAACACTGCCTTCAGAAAATATGCCTGCAAGTACTATTTAGTTGAGAATTTCAGTACTTTCCTCATTTCCATTTTTTGCCAGCTTTTTATAATTTCTCTACCTGTTTTGATACAGACTTGGCACAAGACGTGACACTGAAAAGGTAAAATTTTCAAAAGTATCTAAGTGACACAGGAACAGATTTTCATATTTATATGCCAAATTTTAATGGAAGTTAGGTGTTTAACCTGGTTCTGATCATCTTAGATAATGCATAGTGTGTTTAGACTTTTCTAACATTCCACAAGGCACTTATCCATATTCAAGAGCCTAAACACCATTCACTATCAAACACTGTTATGCTATGAAACTCAGTTTTCAGAAAAAGTTTACTAATCTTTGGTGATGCTGTGGTACTTCAGTGAGATACCAATCTATGATGTTAGGCTTCTTTTGCATGAATTACCTCATGTTTGAGGCAGTGCTAATAGCAGCTATACGATTAGTTACTGCAGCTCACCTAAGAGGCAGTAACTTGCTAGGCTGCTAAACTCGACCATGCATGTCACCCTGAGGTTGCCTAGGTGGGGACAGACTCATATACTGCAAGCAAGTTGAATGGTTGCATTTTGTACTCCATTTGAGAGTTTGTTTTTCTATCTTCAACTTAAAAATTGCAGCACATGGATACAGGTGCGGTTAGACATCAATCCCTTCACTCAAATGAATGATTCTATTATAGTAATTTCATTCAGGCAAACAGAACATATTAATGTGTGCTTTCTGAAAGAAATAAAGGAAAAAATGGGTTATGCTCCTGTAAAATAACTTGAAATGCTTCATTACTACAGATCTATTGATTCCTATCAGAAAACTGAATTGTAGTAGGATCTCCTTTTTTCGGACTGGTTATTGAAGGTCATGCATTCTCTTCAGAAGTGTTTTTACAGTGAAATATTCAATTTTTATTTTTTTTTTTAATTTTTATTTTATTTTTTTTAAATGAACGCTGTGCAAGACTCACTGAAATCCAAAGTATTATGTTTCAAGGGTTTCCAGATGACTGCAATGTTTTGCTCTGGTTCATCCTCTTCTGACGAAGGGAAAATATTGTCGTCATTGCAGCTTACCTCACAAGAACAGCTATTGACCATAAACGTACCAGAAGATTCACCCTGCTTGAGACAAACATCATAAAATAAGCAAGTAAACAGTATCCAAAGCAGTAAGAAATTAGCAAATTTATCATTCATTATCATTCAGATTTTGGGTTTCAATTACAAAAAATACCATAGCTTAATGGGTAAATAAACTTAGAACAATTATTGGAAGAACAACATTAGGATTTCCCACTATTTACATTGCAGAAACTGACAGAATACAATGTGCTCCTGTTGACATATCATATGGAAAAAAAAAATGCAGACTTAGTAGTAAATAAGGACAACCAATATGAAAAATGATGGGACTCGAGATGAAAGACAGAAAGAATACTATGATGAAGAAATGCTATTCCACAGTTATATACAGGACAACTATGTTTTCCAAAAATAGTATAAATTAAGTGAAAAAATGAACAAAAGTACAAAAGCAACAATTTGATAATTGACACTGTCACTAAACACTTGAAACAGAGCAAAAGACTAATAACAAAGTCTTAAAATCTTGTGCAGTCCATGTAAAAAAATATCTCTATTCATCTAACAAAGACTATCCCTTCCATCAAAGTCACCATGCTGTGGGATGCTCAGAATTTTGAGATACAGAAAAGAGCATTTCCCACAATTTATACATTGAAGTAATTTCTTGACAAGGAAGGAAAATAATTCACTGTACCTTCTCTTATTCCCAAATGCTTGCTTAGGCCTAGGAAGGGAGAACTACACAGTGCGCCTTTTGAAACGAAATCACAGGCAGAGCACATATTGATCAGTCTTCCAAAATTCTGTGTTCATTATATTTTCAACAAGTCACATTATTACAGAATACATACATTTAAAAAAAATTTTAGAACAATCAGAATCCCTGCTCTCTTCCATCTGATTTTCCAAGACAGCCTAATCTGCAGAGCATGTTGACTTTGGGATCACTAGTTTAGCTAATACTACTTGTCTTCATCTGAAACCAATATGAATTATGACAGAATTTATCCATTAACCTTAACCAAACATCACTGCATGCTGTAACTCCAGATTCTATTACTTTTCTGTTCAAAGGTATCAAACTTCACATAATGTCTAAACTATGCATTTTACTACAGACTTAAATATTAAATTCACAAAAATTATGATAAAGCCAAATAAAGCAAGATAATAAGTTGAAAAAATACAAAGCCTTTGGCAATCCTTAAATATGGATCAGAAACTTCTGAATATTCTTTCAGCTCACAAATTAGTATACTAACTATAGAATTTTGATGAAAAATGTCTATGAGATAGAATATTAATGTTATACAGTGAAGTACTCATAAGGTCACCTGAAGTTTGACTCTGCATTCTTTTCTTTTTAACAATTAGATCTCATCAAGCTGTCAAACAAAATGGGATATAGTAAAAATTACTAATAATGTTTGAACGCAGAATTTTTTTTTTAAAGTAATTTTTTTTATTTTCTTTGGAAAATAAAATATTGCAATTTCAAAAGTTTTGTCTGGATATTACAAAAAAAAAAAAAAGGTGGGTGGGAAAAAAGGCAGAAAACTAGTATGCATCAGAAGTCTGCAATGAGAACTCACCATTTACATCAATATTTGACTTTACTGGAGAGAAAAAGGATCCAGCTAAGCTAAAGCAGTGTATTTGAAAATTCTCAGGAAAGGCTAAATTACAAAAAGGTCATTACCTATGAGAGGAAACTCAGCTCTGCTGCCTCTAAAAGGGCTCAAGGGGAGTTTTATAAGCACTGTAAACGCTAAAGCTATGCTCTAAGAGGGGCTGATGTTCTTTGATTGGACCTCATTTTATTCATTCCTCCAAGAAAGGCATGAAAGTCAAGGCAATAATCTACTTTATGTGAATCAATTGCACGAGAGGTTAAAAGAAGTCAACTAAATGTAGCATAATGGTGCAGAGATGAAAACTGCAATTTAACACAACCATGACATGCATTCAAACATTACAATATACAAGCATCCAACAGCATCTATACTATTTCCCGCTCATCAAATTACACCTCTGACTACTGCTGTTGGTTGATATATTTTGCCGTTACCCAGAGGGCTGCCTGACAGCCCCTAACCCTTTAGGTATGACTTAGAAAATAAAGCAGCAGGATCACAAATCTGTAATTGAAACAGATCTTAAACTGGATAATGATGCAAGAACCAAGACAATTCCATTTTCTCTATTTTTCTTAAAGTTTCTATTTTTTTTAATTCAATTTGCATTGCAGCATGGACATTCACTGACTACTAGTGTAACATATACAGAGTTTGCACTTCTTTGTCCTACCCCCTGAGTAAGCATGAACTGACATGGTGATATGAATGATACTATCACAGTGTTGCTTTGGGTTTTGTTCTTACATCACCTGGATTTTAACTTCAATATGGTATAAAAATCCATCACTAGACAAAAAATATGTGAAGTGGAAAGGGAAAAGTTCCAGCTTGCTAGTATGATAACCACTTTGTTTTTTTGCTTTTGTTAAGCTTTACATTGACACCTAGAGCTACAGGATCTTTTGTAGGTACTATTAGAGACCTGTAACTTCCCTCCATTCCCTAACCTGGAGGACGGAATTTATACACTCTGCAAGTGAACATGAAAAGAGCACCTATTCCATTTTTATGCCATCTGTGAAAATTGTTCCTTCAACTATGTTTCTAAACATGTTTTCTGCAAAATGTGCTTCATAAAAAATTCATGGGGATGTAGTGAGACTCACAGACTGTATCACAACTGGTTTGGTGTAACCTACAGAACTCCCCTGTAGCTTTGTAATCTGTTAATATTACAAATATCCCAAACTGATGCCTCATGAAATTTTCCTGTCATACACAGTCCCATACATTTTTCCTAAATATGTCAATATTTTATAAATTGATAGGCTTATATCAATACTGCTTTACAGATATAAATTAAATTATACATCTCTGTTTACACACATACAGAAGCAGCTGGTCAGTTGCAAATTTTTTGGAACTTACTAAGAAATACTAGAAATTCTACAGTGTCTCTTAGATACCCCAAAGTCCATAAAAATAATTACAGACTACTGTTATTTCAATGCCTATGATACATCACAATGATTCATTCAAGGCTGACTCCCACAATGCTCCAAAAACATAGGTAATCAATCACTTTCCGCAGCAGCACAGGTGCACGCTACAGCAGAAGTATTAGGTGTAGAACCTGGCACTAGAAGAACAACAGGCTCAATGCCAGTCTAAGCAGAGCTGCCAGACTCTGTTTAGCAGCTATATTCAAATCTCATACAAATGTTGGTCTTCCATTCCTGTCGAGAGAGAAAGTAATCTAAGAATTTAAAACTTAAAGTTATAGACTGCCATAAACAGACTAACTTTCCCTGAATAATATTCTCATCACTTTAAAAACAAAAAATCAAGCGTGTTATAATGACATTTTAATTAAATCTTACAGAACCTATTTTATCACATAACATTTTCATGTTATTTCACAGAAGCAATATATTTTCCCATTTGTTACACTGTTTCTCCCACACCCACTGTACATTGTGATACCAACCTAATTTTGGATCAGAGCCTGCATGCATGCATATGCTTAACTATATTCACATAACTCATGTCATTGATGCAAGTGCGCTCAGAATGAAGTTAAGCAAATGCATGAGTGTTCCAAGATCCAAATTCTCCTGTTGAAAAAGCCTTGGAGCTAGGACTTTGACTGATATAGCTGAAATTCCATGCAGTGGTCTTTTATGAAAACAACAGATTGCCTTCTTAAAAAGCTTACATTCTCCACTACAGAAACTGGTATAAAAACCTATCACAACACAGTTCCAAAACTGATCGTTCTCCCACTGAGCAGCAATGAGAATACAGTGGGGCAGAGAGCTCAGAAGACATAAGGAAAGACTACGATAATACAGAACTCCTTGAAATAAATATGATGAGAGACCACATAAATCTCCTTGTAGTATTTCAAGTACAATACACAGACACGTAGGAAAGAAAGTCCTTTACTCTGAAAGACTTTCAATTAAAGTCTCTTCATTGTGAAAAAAGAACAAAAATTTCTCTTTTCTCAGAGAACTGGACTGAATCTGCAAGCAAATGGAGTAGGAAAGAATTTATAAATTTAATTTTATAAATTTTACTTATAAACAGCATTTGCAATTAGTGTACAAAAGAAATTTTGCTGTATTTGTTACAAATTTTTTAAAACATAACTACAAGGGTTATCTATATTCTTATGATGCAGAAGGGAAACTAAAGATTACCTAAAAGTATCAGTCAATGATGACAAAGTATTCAAAAAATGCCACACAAAATGACACCAACAAAAAATATTTTGCAATGTGAAATTCCTTTCTGTTCCCCTTGACATAACTTCCAAAGTCTAATTCTACAGTTTAAGTCCTAAATGGAGATTAACTATAATAATTCAGGCCAGAAGGAACAGGACTGAAAGAGGCTACAAAATTAAATCAAAGCTAACCTGCCGTATCATGCTCCTTTAGTACAAAAGGCATGTAAATACCTCCCAAACACCTTTTCTAACCTTTACAAGTGTTTTTAAAATCATCTCCAAATTGACCTTTCTTTTCCCAGTGTAGAAAGAAAACTACATGACTCCCTCTAATTCTGGACTATCCTTAATTTAAGGGGATGGAGTTTCACGGCTTGTATTTGATGTATGTGTGCTCCCACTCACTGGAAATTGGGGAACAAAATCTTCATTATTAAAAGAGGGAAAGAGCAAATCTTAAAGGTAATAGGTTCACTATCAGAGGTATGTTCACAACAACAGAAGCTCCAATAGCTTTAATTTCTGTTTCTGCTTATTCAAATGCCAACACAACAGAGTAACAGAATAGTATAATGCGGGGAAAATAAAAATATTTTGCAAGTTCACTATGGCATCAAAGTGAAAAAAAATTTTCACAGTTTTTTTTTTCCTAACTGAAAATATTCAAAATTAAATTTGTATTGAATACAAAAGACAATACAATTAATTTGAAGATTCTGGAGTATGCTTCAGAAATTGCCTCCACCTCAACAAAAAACATTCTATACTTTAAATGTACAAAGTGACAGTCTTATTGGTAAAGTAAAATATTAATGAAGGTAGCTATCTGTATATATATAGCACAGTGGTGACCTTGTTTTTCACCATGAAGTAAATAAGGCATTCCTCAATTTTGAGCATTAGTGTTCTATTAGCATTATTATTTAGTCAATGTTTTTGTAAAATGTCTACAACAAAGTTATCTCGAGCTGTGTTTATCAAACTTTTAATAATGTTTTAATAATAAAAATCTTATATTTATTTATCTCTTTAGCCTTTTCTGTATTACTGGTAATGAAAGAAAAGAGGGTGTGTTAAAAAACCCCTTCAATTATTATGCAAAAACACATCTTGAAGTTGCGCAGTAATGTATTAAACCAGAACAGTGAGTAAAATGTTATTTTCCCCCAGGCACAAGAGCTCATTTTGCTGCCAGAAACAATCTAAAACAAATTTCTACGCAGGCTTTGTAGTTAAACATGAAGAGATTTAGCTGAAGAAAATGCATTATAGAGGAGGAAAGACAGCAGAGACTAAGGTACGCTAGCTATAATTGCATAATGATTATAAAAGTAAACTCAAAGAATGTAAAATTAGCACCTGTGGCACATAACAAAGATAAAATGAATATACAATAAAAGTTAAAATATGTATATCAGTTGAAATGATAACAAAACTGATGTCATAATACTTATTAGAATTACACATTCACTGTGCAGTCTATTAATGGTTTCTACAAGTGCTTACACTGTTCACAATGGAATATTTTTTTCCCAATTTTCAGTAATCCCTTGAAAGCCTGAAACTAAAACTAGTTCTCCTTCTAAATAAGTTTTTCTCTGCAGTGATTTGTTATTGTAGGATCGGCTTTTAAGTGCTGAATTACTAACTGATACTTAAATTTTTTTGTAGGGCTTGTAAGCACCGAATAGTGAGAAGCACAGTACTATAGACTTATCAATCTTGAAGGCATCTCTATCTTTATGCAGTTAAGCCATGCTTAGTAACAAGTTATGCTCTGAACGAATAACTTGTTGTCCATATTCATAACTTCTTGAAAACCTAGTTTATTTTACCATGACATTAAATAATTTATAGCCAAAAGATTATAATGCTTTTCCTTATGAGACAACCACTGTCGAAGATAGACTATTTTCCTTTTAACTGTACAAGACATTGGTTTATATGCCAAAATCCAGGGCAAACCTCTGTAAACCTTACCCCTTCGAGAGTGTGACAACTTTGTCTACAATGGATTTGAAATATGATTTACTACAACACTGCTTGAAACTGTGAGGCTTTATCCAAATCTAAAACATCTACATAAGAAGGGGAAAAGAGCTTCTGAACAGATAAAAGTAAAATCTTGATTCTTATATAAAATGCTATGCATTTTAATATGATTTTTTTCCTGATTTATGTAAAGCTTTGTGTTTTTCATTTTCCCTAGCCTGTCATATTGTAGTGATGTATGGTGCATTTTAGCATCAAGTTTGCCATGAGCAATAAAGTCAGTGCCCCCAAAGAAAAATTAATATATTATCACTCTTCCCCACCATGCCCTGCTTCCAAATTTTCCTTTATTCAGCCTATTTGGTTTTGCTTCACATAGTTAGTTGACATCCTTTTCAGTGTCTCCCACACAAATATTTAATGTTTTATTTTTGAAAGAAATCCCAAACTAGAAATTGACAAGATGAAATACAATTTACTTTCCAAGGCAAGAATGAGGCCATCATGGAAGAAAAATGCACAGGTATTTTATCTGTTTGAACAATAAAATTAAAAAAAGGGGGGAAAAGAACACATGATCTATTGAAAGAAATTCAGGAAATGTAGTCACTCAAGAGACATGAAATGTAAAATACCAATATAATAATGTTCTAAAACAATCCCCGAACCTAGAAGAGTTTCAGTGATCTTCAAAGTGTAGAAAGAATTAGGAAGAAAAAGATGGCTGGAAAAGCAGTAGGAAAATCATAAGGCACTCAATTCAACAAAATACTAGCTCTTATAGATGTTCAGGAGGGAAAAAAAATAATTTTACCTGTAAAATCATGAAAATAAAAATAGAGAAGTGATGACAAATACTAAGAAAAATAACTTGTTTTGACCAAAGATAAGATAGCTCTGCTTACAGAAAAGTCTAGAAGAGTTCCTATTCTTGTTCTGCTGTTTCTATGGAATCATAAACTCAAGAGGATGAATCTCAGGAAACTACTAATGATTCCTTTAAGATCTTTGACCAGCACAACCTCCTCTACATCATTTGAAGTCATTCATTAGAGGTATCTTCCAAATGGAAAACACAAAACAAAAACCAGTATGTTTAAAACTCGAGCACTTGTGGGTCCGCGAGTTTTTAAATCATCCTCTTTACCTCAAAAACAGCAAAAAGAGATGCCACCTCCCAGCAAATCAACACTGTTCATACAGTTTTCTAACACAGCTGTGTTCCACAGTGTGGCTAGCTGTACTACACAGGTTACACATGTGCTTGACTCAACCATGCTGGCTGAGCACCTTGAGGTTTCAAGATGAAAAATGCTACACAAATATACTACCTCCGTTCATTCGACACAAGGAAGCATTTGTGTTGAGTTTTTCCTTATGGTAAGTTCTGAAATTCAACTAAATATGTTCATTGTTATTTGAAAGTACACCCACATGAGAATATGTAGGTTCACTCCAAACTCTGACAAAGTAACATAAAAATAGAAAGCATGCATATAGCCTTAAAGGAAGATGACATTTGCAATCTACTTGCCTTATTCTCCAGGTGTAATTTTAAAAAATGAAGGTAGGCCACAGGTGCAAATGCATCAGCTGAATGCACAACCACTTTGGCTTCATCTCTGAAATACAAAATTCTTAGCATGAAATATTAGTATATAATTTTACATATAGACAACATTCAGTCACTATATAACACAGACTCCAAGTTAACTAATTGAAAATCTATTAATTTCATAGTTTTTAAATTAATTAAGAAAAAATAGTTTGCTATATAAAGTTGTACTGACAACAACACACTATCTTCACTATTTTTCAATTTTCAAAAGGAATAAAGTATAATTCCTGTGTGAGCCGGCACAGGTTTACAAAGTGTGAAACACAGGAACAACCACAAAACCACTGCTGAAGCGCAAAGTACATTTATTTTCATTACCTTACCAACTGGGGGATTCCTGAAGCAGCACCCAAACCGAGGCACACAAGTGGGGACACAGACACTGTGGAGCTCAGTCCATGCTAGAGGATCACTGAACCTGCTGGTTTTGCCTGTATTTCAGGGATTCACGCAGGCGTAATTTACCATTGTGCTTTGATCTTTCCCACAGCAAGGCAGGAATCTCAAGCATGTCCAACAGGGTGCCTCTAAGTCTATCACAGGCCTAAGTTATCTAAACACAGATGTTCTACTTGTCCAACACACAAGGCCAAACAACAATTAGTATGATATATGTGTTTTTCGACACCGCAGCTGCAAGTCACTTGAGCATGTTTACAATCCTCCTTGCCAATCTTCCGTTATTTTCCCACACTTCCAGACCAGTATTGAGAGATTCAGTTAGCTGTCATCTATGAAAGTATAAATGACATTATGTTGTACATTATAGAGCCTAATATGTAAAGCAAACTTTTCATTTCATCAACAGGAGATTTTTTAAAAGTCCATTCTTCTTGATGCTCCCTGGTTTAGTTCTTGAAGTATTAACAATACACAATTTTTCACGCTGAGAAACTGACTGATTCGACCATCTTGCATCTGCTATTGAAGACTACTAGACACAACTTTTTAACGCCAAATGTGTTGGTAACAATGATAAACTTCCTGTGTGCTGATTCAAATTAGATAATTTTAGTTTTTCATTTTTACAGACACAATCTGTCACACTTTGATTCACAAGAGGCAATATCTGTTACATCCATCTGCATGGTTTTACTACTTAAGGAAAAGGTAGCTCTAGGAAACAAACATCAGAAGGTGAGAAACTCACAGAAAATGTTAAGAGAAACTCAGATGCAGTACAGGAAAATCTGAAAATTGTTATAAGTAAGGCTAAGGACACACAGATAATTTTCTTGTAACCACAGTGCCCTTGATCCTTTCACAGTATTCAGTAAGATGAGATAGATAGATTTCTAGTAGTGACACATAAAAACCATGCAAACTGGAAACAGTTGAAGACTTGGCCAGATTTCACTGACTTAATCAAAGTGTAAAATTAATGGAAATATCTGTTCTATAAAATGTGTTTGGGGATTTAAAATAACAAAGCTCCTAAGATAATCATCATTACTACAATGCAAAATAATGATAAATATCTTCAACATAAGAAGCTCCACTTCTCTTTTAGTAAACTTTTAAAGTATTTTGATAAATAAGTCTTCAGGTTCATTCCTGAGTTATGAACATGATTCTTTACAATTAAAATATCACTTAGTCCTTTAAGATATCTTAAAGATAGTCCCTTAAGATTAAAATCATTCTTTTCAAAGAATGGTGTCCTTAATTCTAACACAAAGAGGTAGGAAATAACTTTGGATATCTTTAGTAACAAGAATACATAATTAGAAATAATAAAAAACAGACACCAACACTCCAGTAATACCTGATACCTGGGTATCCTCAGTGTCTGGGGATTTTCTCAATAAAAATTTCTTGGTTGTTCAAGTCCTATACAGGGAAGTCTGGTACTTTTCAGTGATGCATTAACTACTTAAAACTAAATTAGCAGAAAAGCTTATATCAGAAAGGAAAAAATCTGTTGAATTTAAAGAATACCTAGTAACTTTAAAATAAATATTTAACTCCAAATAAAAGTAGTCCTACTTGTATCCCTGCATGTTCCAATTCACTAGTAGAGCAAAACAGATGCTAAGCATTGATACCTATGCTAACTGTTCAATAACTTTACAATTTTTGAGTATTTATTTGTTGCTCAAGAAGTATTGTAAATATTAAGAGATCATCCATATTTCTTCTCAGTATGAAGTACATTTCTATGACATACAGCTAACACATAGGTATTTGATTGGGTGGTAATAGATATCTAGTTTAATATGCCACTATTTCTCAGTTGACGGGTCACAATAGGTAAATCATGTGGTGCTTAAAATAGTATTACAACACATATAAAAAGAAAATACTTTTTCTGAAGTACTTAAAAAGAAAATCTTTTTCTTAAGTACTTAATTTGCTGTTAGCCTCTCCAAACATACATTCTTGCTCTAAATGATAAAATTTAATCTTGTTCAATAGTAAATGTAATGAACAGGTAGAAAGCAGAACAGTTTTGTTTGTGTACAATGATGAGTCACTAATTAAAAGGAAGTCCTGAATTTACATGTCATGGCCACCTTAGGAATAGTAAAAGAAAACCCAAACTACATGAGAAAGCAGAGATTCTAATGAAAAACAGGGATTTGAGACATCCCGATAATTATATAAAAGCCATTTCACACTGGAAGTCTGAATTTCGAGTAGGAACATGACTAAGTAAGGTGATTAATGTTTGATTATGATGGAAACACAGGAATTTTGTTGAGGAACATTTTCAGAACACTTTGGAAAACAATGAAGAATAGTTGAAAAACTTCCTGATAATCTGGTTTTTGCAATCATAATCATTTGATCTCTCAAGTTTCCTTGAAGACCTAGGAAATACCTAATCATTTTTAAATACTATGTAAAATTTTCACAGGACTAATATGACAAGTTAAAGCAAGTCTGAGAGTATAATCAGTGATTATTTTTTCATGTTTACAGATTTTTTTTTAAGTCCAAACCTAGAATTACAAATCTAAACACAGAGCTCATGGTAAGGTATACAAATGCAAAATTACACTTCCCAAATATTTCAAATATGTCAATTTACTCCAAATAAAAAAATCAAACTATTCTGTGTTCCATAAACACAAATGGGCCTTTATCATAAGAGTAGATATTAGATGGCATTCTCATAGATGAGAAATATATCTTTATGATTTGAAGAGGTGTCAATCAATTACACTTTAAATACCAGCGTAAGAATGAAAATAAATGCTTGGTACCTCTTAAATACTGAGCATCAAAAAGATGACAACCAGATTACAATAGTCTATCTGGGAAAAACAGATAAAACCTCATCTGACTCTTGGTTGAATATTCTGACTGTAAGATCTTACTTCCACTGTTAAATCTTGTTTAATTTCAAATATTTCACTCAATCTGCCATGCTTCCTTCGTGAGTCATATTTTTTTAATGAAGGTTAAGAAGAATGGCAAGAATTCAATTTAATATTCAAAAGCAAAATTAAAAATATAGCCTTACATTAAAGAGTCTCCCCTTTCTCCATAGTAAGTAACACATCAAGGACACATTTTTCTTTTCCTGAACTGGCAGATTTCCTTCTTTTTCAAATGATATACTGTAGAAACCTATTTTGTCCCAAGTTTCACATGATAAAACCACTGACCAATGAAAACAGTACCTGAAAGTAGTGTTATAAATGGCAGGCGTGTAAGATTTTGTCCTGTTGTATCGGGTTTAACATGGCAAGGCTTTGGTATTAGGAGGTGGTCTGCAGGGATGGCCTCTATGAGAGGAAACCAGGGCCTGCTGAGCCTATCAACAACACTGGTTATGCCTCTGATAATGTATTTTAAAAGGGGTAAAAATGCTGTGCAGCATCTGTGACGGAGTGACAAAAACGTGAGGAAAACAGCCATGAACTCACCAAGGTCAGGGAAGGAGTAGGAGGAGGTGCTCCAAGTGCCAGAGCAGAGGCTCCATGCAGCCTGTGGAAATGACCATGGTGAAGCAGGTTGTTGCCCTGCAGTCCATGGAGGACCACATCAGAGCAGATATACACACAGCAGCCTGTGGAAAACTCCATGCTGGAGGAGGCTCCTGGCAGGAACTACAGCCAGCAGAGAGGAGACTATGCAGGAGCAAGTTTTCTGACAGGAACCATGGCCCATGGAGGATCCATGCTGGAGCACTCTGTTCCTGAAGGACTGTACCCCATGGAAAGGACCCACAGTGGAGCAGTTCTTGAAAAAATGCCCCATGGGAAAGACCCACACTGGAGCAGTTCATGAAGGACTGTATCCCATGGAATAGACCGAGGCTGGAGAAGGGTAAAAGTGTGAAAAGAAGGGAATATCAGAGACACAGTATTATGAACTGACTGCAACGCTCAATCCCCATCCTCTTGCACTGCTCAGTGGGGAGGATGTAGAAGAGTCAGGAACAAAGGAGTGAAGTTAAGCCTGGGAAGAATGACGTGGGGAGAGCAGGTGTGTTTAGTTTTGTCTTTTTTTGCTCACTACTCTATTTTTTTAAATTGTCAATAAATTAAATTAATTTTCCCTAAGTTGAGTCTGGTTTGCCCATGACAGTAACTGGTAAGCCATCACCCTGCTATCTTGACCTGCAAGCTTCTTCATTTTATTTTCTCCCTGTCTTACTGAGGAGGGGGCGTAAAAGTAGCTTGGTGGCAACCTGTCAGCCAGCCAAGGTTAATTCATCACACCTGCTTTGGAGGCAAAAGTAATCGTCAACGTCTTCCTCAGAAGCTTTCTCTAGGAAGATTCTTGGAGGATCTCAGCAATTTAGGGACCTTGAGAATCCTGACAAGTTTTAACCTCTAAACTGTAATTCTTACAACTCTGTTTAAGCTTCAAAAATGATATCAGGATGTATATCAGAACCACGGCTATCTAAACATTTGGAAACTACAGTAGCATAGTTAACAACATGACTACAAAGTCCGTTTAGATTCAGTGTATATGAAAATCAAGAATGAAAAGCAGAAACTAAACTTGTAACTTATTCAATGGCAAAGAAACTATAAAATATTTTTCTTTAGAAGTTCATAAAGTAATAAGATTTCACATGAATGGTTTCTCAAAAGGCATATCTTTAGATATGAATAATGTAAGAGCTAAGCAGGACTAATCACGCCACAGACACACAGTGCCAGTGTAGCTATTCAGTTTCCATTATGGAAATGTGTATGTAGAACCAGTTGAGCAACTGTTTAACTGTCTGCTGTGCCATATATTTATTATTAAATACCCATTGATTTATATATTTGTCTTTTCCTGTATTTTTGTGCATTTACTGTTAACTTTTATTATTATTTGGAGTGTTGCCAATAGAAATAGACAAGTCAGTCAGTCCACCTCTGGTTTAGCTTTTCCTAGTTGCTTGAATCGTCGTTAAACCACTGATAGCCAGAAATATATTTAGAATATATTGTTAGATATTACTACTTAAACAGGTATTTGGTTGATCTCAAAACAAGAGCACAATGTACCTTCCTAAAAGTGTTCCACAAATTCCATGGAAAAAAAAAAAATCTCCACACTACACCAACCAAGAATTTCTCATGAGATTTTACAGTCTTCTCCAATCTGTTGTATCTATGAAAAGAGAGCTTTGGAAAGGAGCACTGGGAAATTCTGCATCCAATTCTAATAAACTCTCAGATTTAATTTGTAACATAAGAAGCCTCAAAATAAATATAAAAGTTGTAAGTAATCAGCCAAACACATTTAAGTGAAAAACCTCATACAAGCACAGTTAATGTCTCAGTTAAAATCTAGCTGTTCTTCTTCTGAAGTACACTTCTTGTTGCAAGTGTTGCTGAGTGCTTCAATGCTCTGCAAACTGAGAGAAAAGACATATCACATCAGGAGAGATGCTGGAGCTGAGTAAGGCAGCCTGATCTGCTCCCCATGTAACAACCAGCACAACTAAGAAAAGGCGACAGATGACAGTGGTAGGTGACTCCCTTCTGAGAGGTACAGAGGCACCCATCTGTTGACCTGATGCACTCCGGAGAGGTGTGCTGCTTACGAGGGGCTCCTATCAGGGGTGTCACTGAAAGACTACCAAGACTCGTACAGCCAACTGACTATCATCTGCTGCTGTTGTTCCATGTGACACCAGTGATCCAGCCAGGAGCAGTCTGAGGAGTATCAAGAAAGATTACAGAGCCCTGGGAGTGGCAGTAAGGGACTCTGGAGTGCAGGTATTTTTTTCATCGATCCTCCCGGTCAAAGGGAAGGGATTTGAAAAGGCCAGTTGGATTTGGCAGATCAACAATTGGTTATGGGACTGATGCCACAGCCAGAAGTTCAGCTACTTAGACCATGGAACTCGCTTCAAGAAACCTGGTCTACTGAGGGCTGATGGGGTCCATCTGTCAGAGAAGGGGAAGAGCATCTTTGGACACAGGCTTGCCAAACTGGTGAAGAGTATGTGGGGTAACAGTTTAAACTAAAGAAGGTAGATTTAGATTAGATATAAGGAAGAAATTCTTTACTGTGAGGCACTGGCACTGGCACAGGTTGCCCAGAGAAGCTGTGGCTGCCCCCTCCCTGGCAGTGATCAAGGCCAGGTTGGACGGGGCTGTGAGCAACCTGGGCTAGGGGAAGGTGTCCCTGCCCATGGCAGGGGGTTGGAACTAGGTGATCTTTAAGGTCCCTTCCAACCCAAACCAGTCTATGATTCTACGAATGTAAATGGTGAATAGGCCACATAGCTGGCAATGGGTAGTATTACTGTAAATGACAAAGATTCACAAAATTCTGCCTCTGACATCTACTGGAATTGGTAATAATTTGTCAGTTTAATAGAAATCATATCAGACTGTAAATGCAAAAATGAATTGTGCTCTGGCACTGATTTCACAGTATTTTCCTTTTTGCTAGAAGAGACTGAACTTATTCTATCTAAGGGCATATTGAGGAGTTTTACATTTTGTCCCCGAGTTTATTTGTCATCATACACATTTTATTCTAACTTCCTACTTAACTATCCAACTTCCACTAGTCAACAGGTTGGCTCACAACCTATGGCGTCTACCTAGCACTTGGTTCCCCTCAGAGAATCTTCTCCAAGAGTCTCACTTCTTGGCCCATACATAGATAATTCCAACCATGAACTTAAATCCAGTTTAAAGATTCTACACTGTTATTTTCAGAATTTTCTTCTTACTAAAGAATTCCACAGTTTTTCTGCATGGAGTTATCTCCAGATCCAAATTACTTAGTTTTTTAAATCACTGCAGAAGACATATCTTCCAGTCAACCAAGGGTTCAGCAGACATCTGCCAGAGTAGTTACTATCCCTCTTACCAGTTTATCTATTGTTCTTCTTCTCCCAAATGTCACACAATGAAACAGATTTAACAGCTCTTGGTTCTCTGTTCCTTATACAGACAGTTCTCAGTCTCACAGAAAAATAAAACACACAGAGTTTCACCATGAAAACCTTAATCATGTCTATGTGCTCCATAATCCTGACCTTCTCTAAGATGACTGAGTATCACCAATACATGATTACTGGTCTGTTTACTTGGCTAAGAAAAGGAACAGCAGTCAAAACATCTCACTCAAAGCAAGCGGGCTTAGCTATTTAACAGACTAATAAGAAACTAGGAGCAAGACACAAATATTTTCCGTATCTCACTACCCAGATTTTAGCAATTTATGTCAAAGGAATAAACTACTCAGTAAATGAGATGGATTCATGCAAAGTTTGTATTTAAAATATCCTCTAATAATTGAAGAAAAATATTTATTGTTATCATTCTAAGCTGCTAAACTTAAAACACACACACACACACACACACAGAGTTAATGGAACCCACAGGCTACTGATGTGGCAGTTTATCAAATGTAGCTGTAATGAAAGATAAATATTACAGGCAATTCGCACTTCATGAAAGGATAAAAGTGTCAGTGTGTAGGTACCAGTTTTACTGCAGGCTATAATCAGCAAGTAAACGAAAGTGCAAATGTCTAAAAAGTTTATAGCCCTCTATGAAGGCCTCGTCTTGTCAGGTATTGATTTAGGTTTTCAGAGGACTTTGCCAGTGTTAAACAAAGTGAGTGTTTGTGAACTTAGAGGACATGTTTTAGCTCTGCCAACAAAAGTTGCCTCAAGCTAAATGTGAATATGTTCTCATTGCTTTAATATAAGAAAATGGAAGAAACTGTTCCTTACACAACTATTTTCTTCTTAAATAGAGGGCAGTCCAGAGTGAATGTTTCATATTCTCCACCTTCTCCGCAAACATGGACTCCATATTTCTCAGAAAGCTAATACAAAAGGGAAATTAAAATATGTAAGTATTACATTAAAGCAGTCTGTTAAATATATTTTGGTGAAAATTTCAGTGTGCACTTTCTAAAAGACTACCCATTACAAGGCTGAAAAAAGCCAAATATCATACAGAGGGTTCTTGATTTCTTTGTAGGTGCATTAGAATGATCTAAAAATTATCAGTGTTTTATATTTTAAGTAGAACTGGCACTGTAAATTCAGATAAATGAATTAATTCCTAGTCCTTTTTCCTCAATGACCATGAAAGGCTGTTCAGACTCTTGTATCTCTCTTTCTTTAGCACAGATAGTTCACTTTTGTGAGAAATTTGTACTGTAAATCAACACAAGAAGTAGCACTTTACACAGAAGTACACAATTAATACATTTTTTGGCAATGAATTCAATAACTTCATTCTATACTTTGGTAAATATCTACTATTTAAAAAAAAATTCTAACAAATAGAACCAATACGAGTTTTCTAAGTGAAAAGCAAAAAGCTAAAGCAAGATCCAAAGAGGTAGCAATGTGATGTTTCCTTTATAATTTGTACTGAATATACTTTCTAAATCAATGTATACATTTATGAATATTCCTGAAGTTCTGGATATCCCACTAAAACACATAACTACATAAACCAATACATTCAAAATAAGAGACATGACGATCTTAATTCCCTGCTTTATAAACAAGCAGCTGTGGAGCAGGAACCAAAGTTCGTTTGCTGGAAGAAGTGCACAACTGCTGAATAGTTGACTGCAATTCTGTAGTAATGTAATGCACTGATAGGTAGTAATCAAGCACCTGTACCATGCCCGCGCATGGGGACATGCTCCCTTTTTCTGCAGGAGAAATTCACCTCCTCATCAGCAGATTACACCACTTTCTAAAGTGTCCCAGCACTAGCTATTTCGAGTAAAGTCCTGCCCTGTTTTGTTCACATTAAGCAAGCATTAACATTCTTAAAGTAGTTCACGAGAAGCTGAACTGCAGTCCTCAACTCCATTGCAAACACCAATGTTACAAATGGGAGTATTTATTTAACCTCTTTATACTTTTCCTTAGAGGAACAGATGCCCACCCATGATGCTTCTGCAAAGTAACAACTCAGTTCTCTACAACATGTAGGAGATGGTTAGAAAAAGTTTGTCTGGGGGCTAGAAAATAATTCCAAATCTGTTGTTTGTCTATTTTTAGGCAAGCATGAGACTGGGTTATTTATACAGTTACCAGAATATTTGTGTAGCAACTCTATTTGATATATTTAAATGATACTGTATTTTTATTGCTGAAGCTTGTGTTACTTTACAGTTCTCTTTCAAAGTTTTCTATTTAAAATCTTCAAAGAGTGTTTACAACTTCAGTCATCACCTTAGCTAAAAATAAAATAAAATTCAAAATTAGGTGTGAAAGAAGAAAATTAAATACATGGAACTTGAATGTTTTCATAAAATCAAAGGCCACATTTTAGATTTAAAATTCAGTTAGTTAACAAAAGGCCTGAATCTTATTCAGCCTTTGTTTTGGAGAAAAGTATAAATGCTCTGAGAAAGCAATACCTTGGTAATACTGTATGTGACTGTTTAGTTGTCTGGTGGCATAAAATCTAAATCTCTTTTGGAATATATATTAAATACATTTTCAGTGTCTTGCTATGAGAGGTATTTTTCATTTTTCCTTTCACATTTTCTTTTAAAGAAAAGGAGCAGAAGAAAAACTTTAATCAAGTGCTCGTTAGATAAAAAAGAATCTGTCAATAATGGCAACAAGGTTTCTATAGGACAAATACATGAAGAATAATTAATATTGATGCAACAAGAATGAACAACCTACAAAACAGTTAATCAAAAACTTTTATTCTTCCTCTCGTAGTTTCCGCTGAAAAAAACCCTAAACAAAACTATTAAAAAAAAGAGAGAAAAACATAAAAGATATTACTAAGTATAACCTTTCCATATAATGAATATAGTGAATATAAGGAGTGACTGTTTACAAGTCACTTTCAAAACTGGTAGCTCTGCTAGGCACGTCAGTGCCTAGAGTAACTATTGGCAATTAACACTGAATACTCAAAGACATGGGACTTTTAGAATGATCTAAAAGACATGGGACTATTTCCTTTTTTTGTTGTAGGAAATCCTAATTTTCAATGTCACTGGCTTCCAGAATTTTTGGTTCCCATGACTGTCAACAAGAACTGCGGATATTCAGTAGATCATAGAACAGATTCTTAATGTTCATTTAACAACATGAGCAATATTTTTCAAAATGTCATCAATGACATCAGAACTTTGCCTTTCAGTCATTTAGAATATTAACATTTTTGAAGAGCAATTATTTTGTTTTGAAAGTTGGATGTTATATTCATAACAATACAACAGATGAGACTAATCTAAATTTTGATTGCTAAATCTGCCTTCTAGTTCAGAGGAGCCAGAAAATAGCAGATTTACAAATTACACTTAATTAAAAATGCAAATCCAATGCAAAATCTGAATGAAATATACAACGAAAATGTCTTCCAGACTACACAAAATTAATCTCTACTCAAATACACAAGACACAAGGTATATAAACGATCAGCCCAAATATTACCCAAAGAAGAGTCTCTGCCTACCTTAAGAATTAAACACAAGGTTTAAAGCTGACTTTCTCATTTAAGTTTAGTAAATAAAGATAAAAGATATGAATTCAAGTGCTACTTATTTCAAGTGAAGACTGATCAAAGACAGAAATTGTAGCACTTAGTAAATTCTAATTACCAAAATGCTCTTTACAGAAGTAGTACTCATCAACTTCTAAGGCAAACATACAAATGACTAAACATTTTCTTACTGTCTACTAGCAGAGACAGAAGTACAGACAAATATAACCATAATATGCATTTACCATTCAATTAATAAATTCTAAGGAGAGTGTGAGCAGCCCCTCAGATTTGGCAAGTTGCCAACAAATTCTTTAGATTAAAAAGTTAGGGCTCCTGGTATATAGGAGATAGTGGGAAATGAGAGCAATTTAATAATTTAGCAATTTATGTAGTAACCATTCATCAATAATTAATCAAAGACCTATCATTTAGACAAACGCAATTAATTCAAAACTTTCTTTGCCACAATGCCAATATCCTGAGACAGTAAAAATCACCCCTGATAAAAGTATGAGTTGCAGATCATCATCATAGTCATAAGTTCAACCTTCTGTGTGTAAAGTCAGAAAAAAAATTGCAAAATTAAGTCAAAGTCTTTTCCACTTAATACTTCTCAATTTGTCTACTGCTACAGCAGCAAAACCGCCTCACCTTTATATAAGTAATTATTAGAATTCCTATTGTACACTAAACTGAGGTAAATCAGAAGACTGAAAATTTAGGAGACAATATATTTTTCCAAAGTTAAATAATACAGTAGATGAAGTGTTGTGGATTTGTGTCTTGGGTTTTTTTTCCCAATTTACATTGGCACACCTCTTATAATGCCTCAACAAGGTATTTTTTTAAAAACAAAAATTATGAATTCATGCTTATTTCTTGAATGTCCAAAAGATAGGCACACTACAGTAATACAAGCTGATTTTCCAAGGAAAATGTTTTGAAATTTGAAATTACTGGTTAGATAATACAATACAAATCAAAGACATAAGAGTATATAAAGCTGTGGTACTTTTGGGGATATGCAATCTTAAAAATTAATTTATTATGGTGTTTTCTTTGGTATGGTCAAAATATTGTGTTTTATTTTATCTCTCCTCCTTAATGAAAACTGTGAATTCCTTGCTCTCACATTCTGTCTACCAGAACTTCTGATTCTGAAGACTTCATTAGTTTACAAAAGAGTATTTTTCACACTATAAACCTAAGTATTTCTCTTCAGTTTATAGTTAATGATTTGGTTTTATTAGGCCTTAAAGCCAACTAAGTATCCAGTAAAAACAATTTATTTGTACTGACTTTGTCTTTCATACCTACATATGCACAAGAAACAGCTACATGAACAAATAATCAGTTGTGCAGTCTCCCCTACAATGGCCTGACAACCAGTTCCAAGTAGGGTCAGAATGCCCTACTAGTTCTACACCTTAAGCTATGCAGTCATTGCTCTGTTTATTGCTGTATCAATAAAAGATAAAACCTGTAAACGTGGGTTTCGAGAAGTATTAAACCATGACAGTAAGAATTTCAGTGAAACCAAGTAAGAATCAGAAACATCAGGAAGAATATATTTAATTGTTCAAAATACCAGGTATTTTGGATCTTAGTTTATTATTTTCTTTTTAAAATGAATGATGGTGAAATTAAATGGAGAAGAATATTTCTTAAGCCTTATTTTAATTATACCTTATTAACATAACTAAAATTGCAATACTTGCTGCTACAGTTTTAAAGAATGTCAAAACCACTGATTCAACTGAGTTGAGTAGCTAACTACCCTTCTTCAGCCCCACTGAAGTTGCAACCTGAATTTTGATAACAGCAGCTTTCTGCAAACGCAAGGACTGTACTTTCTTCCTTTTGGTTTAGTTAACTAGCCTCACATAAATATTAATTCATCCAAATGTGACTGACCGGTATGGAACTGATAATATAGTAAAGTTGATGCTTCTGTTAAATCTGTTCCACAGTAAATTGTTCATTGTTTCATGATTATAAAATTTTATCCTTCCCTAGCTGTCACTTACAAAGATTCTAAAGAAACAGCTCTGACAAGCAGAAACATTGCTTAAGTGATCTGAAGCACCAAACTGGGGGAGAAGCACTTAAATGTTTATCGTACTCTTAAAATATGTATTATTTAGTTGTGACTCCAAAGATCTTCCGAATAATCTTTCTCGGAATTCATCAGTCAGTAGATGATACATGAAGAACGTGACTTCACATGTCACATGTCACATGTCACAATCTTCTTTTCCGTAGTAATGTTACTCTCGCACGATACAGCATGCCAGCATCAAAGCAGGCATATGACGCAAACATAGAGTGCAACAAAGGCTCCGGTCCAGTGTGCTCACACAGTGCAATGCCAACTGAGCAGTCAAACTCCTGGAAGGAGTCTAACCACATTCACTAGTGCTGAACTTGTGGACTCTGGTTTTCAGTGGTTTATTATCCAGGCCAAACAGTCATGTTAATGAAATTTGAGGTGAGCTCAGTGTTCAATCATATTATATTACCTAATCCAAAAACTGGAAGTGGTGGACCTATTCCCTCTTCCTTCATTTTCCCGTAGAAATCCAATCTATACTTTTCATAAAGGATAAATCCACTCCCTCTTCTAACTATTTGTGGATCTTACAGATATCCCTAGATTTCACAACTATTGTTTTAAGTCTACCTTTATTATCACTCCATGAAATAAAACATCTGCTAATGATAATATATGAACAAATATTTTATATATAGTTAATGTACTTATTTTTCTGTACTCCTGCTGTATGTCTCTGCCACTACTTTTTTACCCATACTACAAGTATTTAGGAAAATATTTATTTCCCTACTTTTCTTCCTTTCTTCTCTTTTTCTAGAACAGGATAAAACACCTCTCCTTGCCTTCCTCTGGTATTCTTGAATCTTTCCTGTAGTTGAGATGATGTACAGATATAAGTGAAGCAACCACCCCTACTAGAAGAGATAATGAAGGGGATTTTTACATTATATAGTGGGAGGGGGGCAGGGTGGAAGGTTTCTGGGTAGATTTTCCAGCTCTGAAGCAGAAGCAACAAACTTCAGGCTAAGAACAGGCAAACAATGATCTCTTCAAGTAAGACTATTTGAATGTTATGGACCTTCATGCTGCTTCTTCAGCGTTGCCATGTACCAACTATCTATCCTCGTCTCCAGCCATATGAATGGAATAAAGTTAAACTTGAGATACAATTCCTATTAAACTCTGCTATCTTTCAGCAGTAAAAGAGATTTTTAAATTTTTCTCCTTACTTTTTTCTTCTCTTCAGTAAGTTTGTCATGCCCTTAACTGTTCCAGAAAAACTGCTTACGAAGCCAGGCTGAACAGTAACTACCTAGTTTAACAACAAAAAATATTTTGGGGGGATTGTTTTGTACAAATTTAGCTTACACTGATAAAAGATACAGCAAGACTCTCTTAATAGCAAATCATTGTGGGTTTTTAACAGGCTTGAGGACAAGGAACTGTGGTAAATTGGCTTTGTCACAGACACTATAAAAAACATGTTTTCAGAGCTTCTATTCTTAAACTGTACTTAGCTTGACGTTTGATGCTTCTAACTCAAACTCAAAGAATGCTCATGTACAAAATCTGGTCTATTTTTTTTTCCCCCCTAGATAAATAATTTTTCTTTTAATAAATCTATTATCTCTACCTACAAGCATTTTCCTGCTTTGAAGACTACATAATCCTTTGCACAGAATTAAGTACATCCTCAGGAATAAACCTCTTATCCCATTTTTGAAAGGCCCTAATGTATGCAGTCTGCCTGTGTAAAAAATGGTAGGAAACCTTCAGATGGAGATCTCTGTGGGGAGGTTTTGTATCACCTATGATTTTTCACTACCACTCCTTGCTGTGAAAGTCTGTAACTTGCATGCAATTATTTAGCTTTATCATACTAACATACAAGTTAGTGTTCTCTTAATACTGAAGATTCTTGCCTTTAGTTTCTTTTAAATACAATGGCATCATTTGTGAACTACCTCCAAAAAGAATGTTTTTCATATTGAAAGTGCATATCAGAGGCTTATATTCTATGTACAAAGATAAACTTTGGGTTAGCATCTAATTTCTGAAAGTAGCTAAGTAGTTGTTGATTGCCAAATTTAATGGATTTATGCTGTTACTTTTTAATTGCAACTTTACCTGTGTGAGTAACCTTTAAGTAATACTCACCTCCAAAAGATTAGGCTCCATTTGATTAAGAGTTTTTCCTAGATGCTTATCTGGATCTAAGCCTGCAAAAAGAAAAAAGTGTAAAAATACTTTTCATAAAGCATGGTTATGACATCAAGAAAAGCTTCTTTTTCTTTTCTTTCTTCGAATATAGTACGTTTCCCTTAGAAACTAGTCCCACTGTGTCTAAAATAATTTCTATCCTAAAGAAAACACAGTCTGAATTTTCTCTTGTCCGCTCTGGGCAACTGGGTTTCCATGTTTGGGGGAAAATAGGCCAATTAGCTTTTTACTGTGTGTCAACTGGATAAGCTGTTTGTTCTCCTTTCTTAGAAATTTCACTAACCAGAGAAGTAAACAGGTGGGTCTATGGTAATAAAAATACTACACAGAAATTACCTCTTTGAGTCAGAAGTTAATTCTGTAGATACCTCTTAAATTAAAATACAAGTTAAATCTTTTTATAGTTCCTGCAAATTACTGGAAGGGACATGGACTGTTTTCTGTAATAGAAACTTTTTTGCTAAGTCACATTCTGTGTGTGACACACAGAAAAAGGGTAAGGATTAAAAAGGATGGAGATATAAAGAAAACAGACTTACAGAATATCTTGAATGTCATACCTTTTGATCCATCACAAAATATTCTGTATGATGTCTACATTTTTATTTTTCTTGGTAAAAAAAAGCCCTATTAGCATTTGATAATTCCTCTAACTTGCCCCTCTGTATTCCTGTTTTAGCTTTTGCCAACTTATGACTGTTAAATGATAACTTCTCAGGAATAAATCAATTGTCAGAAAGCAGTACTGGGGTAAAAAACATCCAGGAACAACTGTTTCAAGAGCTGACATTTTCTTCAACCAATTAAATATCCTAGCTAGATTTGAGGCTAAGTGGATAAAAGCTCTTAACATATAAAGTAAATAAGAAAAAAAAAAATAAATTATGACTTTTGAAAGTGATGGAACACTGGAAAATTTTTAGTGATCACAGTTTGTACTACTCTTAATTACTGTGGTTTGGGTTTTTTTTTTTTTTACTAATCCCAATATTTGTCTATTTTTTTCTACTCTACTGCTTTATACAATAATGGGTATATTTAAAGAGCTGCCACCAGAATGACTCAATTTAGAAACAATTTCTGAAGTATGTACCTTGCAAAGCACTTTAGATCATTGATGATGAAAGCTGTTATATAAATGTATGGTATACTATTATATAAAGTCATTGCTGACTTCAAACAGCTGATTTGCCTTTTAATTTTTACAGTGATGGTCTTGGTATATTTAAATTCCTGTGAAACTAAAACAAGTTCGAGTGAATGAGATCCCTAAACATTAAGAAAGTTTTTAAATATTTCATTAAAGCACATTAAAAATTCCCTTACTATCTAGGGGAACACTTTAAAAACTGCTTAATAATTAAAGTGAAAGAGGACTGAGGTTTTTTCCTCCCTCTATTCTTTTTTGGTATTGCTTTATTGCTCTTTATTAACAGACTAAAAAGATGTGTTGCTAGATGTAAGATAATGACAAGTTATGCTTGTGGAAATCATTCTGAAATATCTTGACTTCATTTCAAGATTCAGTGATTCTGGTTGCGTTTTCCAACTTACACCAGCTTAGCATTACGTCCTTGATTTCAATGGGATAGGTATTAGGCTAAAAATAAATTAATAATAATGAGAACGATATTATAGTACTAATTCCACATACTTACATTAACATTCTTTATTAACATAATTACTTTTCTAAGAAAGGCAACCCCTCTCCTTGATAAAAACAAACTGGTTTCCTTGAAATTTTAACCAGGGGATACATTAAAAACACGTGAGAAGGGAAAAAGTTGTTAGAACCAGACACAATAATGTTATCTTTTTCACAACTTCTCTTTGATATTAAGAAGGATATACCTACTGTTCTCCCCCTAATGAACACAAACTTGTAATTTAAAATAAACTATGATACAAATAGTATACAAAATACAAATAATTTGCCTATGCATACACTATGGGTAAACTCTTTAGTAATATCCCACACCTACACAAAAATCTGTGAAACTGCAATGTACCCTTTCTGTTTCTCAGTAGAATTCTATTTTTGGATAGCTTGTCTTTCTTTTGAAGAGTAACATTTCCTTTAGTTTCCAAAAGGTTTGTATTGTGAGTCAATAGAGACCATCTGCTAAAGGCATCAAGAACCAATGCAACCTGTAATTTGCAGAACCACTGATCCACATCTAAAGTCTCTAATGGTATGCATGTACAGATTTGGCAGTATGTCTACTGCTACTATTAGTATAACAAAGTATCTATAACGATACTTACAAAACAGTTAATATAAAACCAAACTCCTATTTGCTATGTTTTTCTTTAAACAAAGGCGTATATTGATTCAGATTCTTAACATGACTTAGACTAAAAAGAAAAACAATGCATTGTAAATTCTTAGTACATTCCATGTAACCATATCCACCAGATTTTTTCTCCATGGAACTAGATGTGAAGAAAGCTGGATGGGTGGATAAACCAACAACAAGGAACAGGGCCTGGATGACTGTATGGAGAATTAAGAAATTAATTATGAAGGGAACTATAATTTGCAGCACTGACATCTATTTTACTTAACTTCCATGTATCAATGGGAAGCAATTACAATTCAATTAAAATACTCACTTTTATTACTTTACTGACTGACCTTGAAGTTAATGCCTGTTTTATTTAATTGCATCATCTATGAATAAATGTTAACCCTAGAATGTTATGCACCATTATTTTCAATGCATTTTTAACTCCCCAACTGAACTACATCAGTCAATTTATTATGTGCTGTCAAGAGAGCAAGTGGGGCTTTATTTCTTTGAGACCAGCACATGATGACAGAAACATCTCGAAAGATTTGATAATGCTGGTTTTAACTGTGCTTAGTAAAACAAATTCTACTCTCACCTCCAGTTCTGTGGCCTAGTTTTACTGTAAAATCAGTATGAGATAGCACAAATAGTATAACCACTTCAGAGTAATTTCTGCTCCATCTGTAATTCCTGATATATCCACCGACAGGAGCAGATATCAACAATGGTTGCTGAGCCCTCTTATGCACAGCCACAAGACAAGTGCTGTAGCAATGTCAAGAGACTGGCACAGAAATTCAGGGCTTTACTCTATGGTGAAAAAATGTACCAGAGAACGTTACTAAGCAGCATTTCACTAGTGTTGTTATGCAAAAGAACTGTATTTTAAATGGTTCACTTTGTACACATGTATTACTGTAGCATAAAGCCCTCACTTACCTGACAGGTAACTACTTGATATTACTTGCATTATCAAGACCATTAGAAAACCAAGTTCCATATTCATGGTATTACATTCAGCTGATAAAATGCCCCATCTTACTAACAAGAATGTTTTGTACATGTTCAGAATTTTAAAATAATCTTGATTTTTAAGAAAGTATTTTAATATAAAAATTTTATTTTCACCTCTTAGTAAAATGCTGAATAAATAAAAATAAATCATAATTATTGGTTATAAGAAATGGTGGTACATCAAGTTCTTTTGAAAGCTACACTGATGCAAATTCTAACCCATTATACATGAACACATTGTGAAAGAATCACTACAACACACATCAATGTGTCAACCATTATGTGTTGAAAATATAGAGAAAATCCTCTGTCCTTTCCTGACTACCCAACACTACCATTCAAAAAGTACATCTTATTCCTCTCTGAGTTCTTCTATGAAATAAGGTTAAAAACAAGCAATCAGAATCACTCTATTACTGATCTTGAAATTTCATATACATAAAATTAGCATAGACTTTTAGAGAAAAAAATGGAACTTGTTTTAAAGCTACAGAAACTTATTCCCTTCTCTTTCCTGACTTCTTGAGAAGCATTGTTGAGAAGGTTAGTAACTGCCATCATTATGAATGTCAGGGACTTAAGACTTAACTTCTGATGATAGACAGTCATATAATGAATGATAAGGTTTCTGGAAAAATCTTAATCAGTTGCTCACCAAAAGCAGAATAATTTAGAACTTTATATAAGAAAAGAAGCAAGGAAAGACTTAAGTTTTCTGGAACCAAAAATAGTCTCTTTCTCTCTCTTCTCAATTTCTTTTTCTGGAAGAAAACAGGGTTAACAAGGAGGTGATGTGACCATTAAGGTACGGAAATATGCAGAGAAAGCAGGAGAGTGTAAAGGATAGATGCAACCATCTGCCTGAGAATTGGAACAAATAGGCCTATTTTTGAAGGTAAAATCCTCTACTTTCAATGTGTTTTTTTTCTTCTAAGTAAACAATACAAAATCTCTGAGTCATAAAGTACGATCAAGCACTATTCTTTAAACGATAAAGAAAAAGAGTGTCTTTCTAATAGCACAAAAAAAGAACATACACAAAAGTTATCAGTTGGTAAAGCAGGTTTACTCTGCAGAAGTGCAGGAATGTCAGATATCCTTCATGATGTATGAGTGCACATGCCAGAGAGATATTAATGCACTGTAAATCTATACCTTAAATTGCCTTGAGGTAAATGTTCCTGGTGCATATTTAGCTTTCCTTTCAATGAAAGTTGGCAAGGGAACTTTTTGTTTGGTAGCATAACTTGACAGGTTCATAGTTGATTCTTAATTTCCTCATAAGTTTCACACATGAAAGGCCGTATAACAATGGTGAACTGGATGGATTCCTAGAATTTTCTTTTCCAAAACATAAAAAAAATTGTAAAAGCTGCTTTATTTTCATACAAAAATGCAGAGTGCAATAAATACTGGATATTACTGCACCTCTAAAAGATCTGAGTTGAATATACATCTAATTTATTGTATATAAGAGCAAAATTCATACAACTTGATATGTGCCTAATTCTCTTTCCTTTTTTTTTTTTTTTTTTCCCTATTTTCTTTTTCATATGGGATAATTTATCCAGTGGGGGAATAGTACAGGGATGGAATCTGAAGATGTAGTAACTCTTTTCAAGATAAGGGGTAAAATTATAAGACATTAATCCCAAAGCAGTTCTAGCATATGTTTAGGATCAAATTTATGATCT